GACAAGTTACAAAGCCTCAAGAAGGAATGGGGAGATGAGATACATTCAGTTGTTGTTGAAGCCTTGAAGGAAATAAACGAATACAATGCAAGCGGTGGGTATCCAGTGGTGGAGCTACGGAACTTGAAGGAAAAAAGAAAGGTTACTTTGAAAGAAGTTATCAATTATATTGTGGATAATATCAAACTAGCAGTTGATATTTTTTTATCATTGCTTTGTGTGGCTGATTAAAGAGCAACATTGATATTCCTGTGATGGGTTCTCTGATTAAAATAGAATTTGGAAAGAAAAGAATAAAATACTTGGATGCATCTCTGTGTGCATGTGATAACTGTTAAACTTATATAGGGTAGAGTGATAAATAATTTGTATGTGAACAATGAAGTGATTGATCAACAGAAATGAGTTATATACGGGTAGTACGTTGTTAACAAACCTCATTTCCCATCCTTTAGACCATCTATTAGTTGTTTTCTGTTTTCTTCAATCACAGCATCAATAGGTTTTTGCTTATCCTAAAGACCATATCTTTAAACCTATCGTTCATCCCAAGCCAAAAGTAAAAACATCACATAATATAAGTGAAATGCAACTGCTAAGCTAAAACAACAATAACTACACGTTCTATTCAGATGCAATATACTTGATACTTCACAACAACTTCAAAGAATCCATAAAAAAATTTGACATTCTCAATAAACAAATAAACATATACTAATCACCTTTATTAATGATACAGTAAACTGTGACCTAAACAAAAGTAAACAAGTCTCACTCACCAAGAATTCAGAAAATAATATCGTCGTCTTTGTCCGCCACAGCCAACAAATTGCGAGAAGAATCGAAAGAAACCCCTTTGTTCAAAGGCGCATCGGAGGAGGACCGCATCTGCAACTGCAACTGCAACTGCATCTGCTTCTGAATCTCCCTCTTCTTATAGCCCTGAATCTTCTTGAGCCTGAAGAAATCCTCCCTCTCCAACTCATCCAATTCGCCCTTGATGTAACTAATGGTATTCTCGAGGCGCGGCTTCACCACGTTCTCGAGCGCGTTAACCCTGCGATTGGTGGTCTTGATGGCCTCGTCGAGCGTGAGAAACGAGGTCTGGAGCGAGGCGAGTTCCACGAGGACCTCGATGGCCCTGACGTAGGCGGCGCGGCACGCCCAAACAGTTAACGGAAAATTTCAGGCCAAACTGGACCGCCGGGGGTGAGTTGCTGACGACCTGGCTCTGAAGGTCCAACGTCTTGAGTTGGCCTTGAAGGAGGAAACAGACAAGGTTGCGATACTAGGCAAGGAATTGGATGCTGAGAAGCTTGCTTTCAGTGCCTATAGGGAGAAGGCGCGCAACAAGGTCCTTTCTCAGCATCAGGCTGGGTTTGCCCAGGCGGCTCGGCCGGCTTGCTTCTTTGGCGACTTCCCTCCTAAATTTCATCTTGATATGACAAAGGATTTCTTCCAGGGGAAGTTGGTGGACCTGACCTCCATCCCTCCAGACCAACAAGCCGACGAGGAAGCCCCAGCACGACCAGCTGGGCCGAATGAGGAGGTGACGGCGTACGAGGAGGGTGCGCCTGAAGATGGTCCGGTTCAGGGGGAACCGGAGGTGGGGTCTTAAGCTTTTTGTTGTTCTTTGTAATGATAGGCCGATAGTGCCCTTTTAATGTACGTTTTTAGGCCGATAGTGCCTTGTTAATGAATTTCTAATTCAAATTAATATATAAAATAATTTTATAATTATTCGTCAATTTAAATTAATAAAATAAAGTATTGTTAAAATTTAATATAGAACATAAGTTATTGAATGAAATAACTTGGCCGAGAGAGCTATGTACTAACCCCTTAGACTAGTCTTAGGCAAACATTACAATGTACATCACTACTCATGTCGCTCGTTTGCAATTAGGGGACATCGAAGAAGGTTTTGATACTAATTGATAAGAAACATGGAAGAACCACACCACAACAACTAGCTATTATGGTTTTTTGACCTAACTAGGATCAATATGGAAACATATTACAGAAATAGAACTGTTTTGAAACTTATTTTCCCTTTGAGGCGTTCAACACGGGTGTCGCTAGTCAACATAGAATCACCCCATGCCATGTATTTTTTTTTTAAAAAGAAAACTAGCTTGAAAAAGAGACATGACATCATAGTATTGACGTTGGAGCCACGTGTGTTAATGATGATCTTGAATGTGACTCCAACAACATTTGTTTTAACTAATTTAAAATAAGTTTCACTGCCCTCAAATAGGGGGTCTATTTTTTTTTTTTTTAATTCATGGTGTTGCTATATGCCCTAATGGGAGACTACGCCTTTTATTTTTTAATTGTTCTTCAAGTGTTGCTATTTTGAGTAGGGGATCTATTTTTTTTTATTGATGGTGTCACTATCCCCAATGGGTGACTACCTTTATTTTTTGTTCTTGTAGTGTCGTTATCCCCTAATGGGGATTACTTTTTTTTTGTTCTTGCAGTATTGTTATCCCTTACACGGGGATCTGTTTATTTATTTAATTTATGGTGTTTATATCCCCATATGAAGAAGGACTGTCTTTTTTATTTTGTTCTTTTAGTGTTGCTACCCCCAGTAGGGGGACATACATACATACATACATATATATATATATATTGTAAAATTTATAATCTTTTTTTGGGATGAAAACTCGTAAAAATTAATGTAAACTGCATCTTTGGCCGAGAGAGACCTTGGGAGGGAAAACTTGTAAATAATGCAAGCTACATCCTTGGCCTAGAGAGATCTCAAGAGGGAAGTAAAAAATTTAATGTAAGCCACTTCCTTGGCCGAGAGAGCTATGTACTAACCCCTTAGACTAGTCTTAGGCAAACATTACAATGTACATCACTACTCATGTCGCTCGTTTGCAATTAGGGGACATCGAAGAAGGTTTTGATACTAATTGATAAGAAACATGGAAGAACCACACCACAACAACTAGCTATTATGGTTTTTTGACCTAACTAGGATCAATATGGAAACATATTACAGAAATAGAACTGTTTTGAAACTTATTTTCCCTTTGAGGCGTTCAACACGGGTGTCGCTAGTCAACATAGAATCACCCCATGCCATGTATTTTTTTTTTAAAAAGAAAACTAGCTTGAAAAAGAGACATGACATCATAGTATTGACGTTGGAGCCACGTGTGTTAATGATGATCTTGAATGTGACTCCAACAACATTTGTTTTAACTAATTTAAAATAAGTTTCACTGCCCTCAAATAGGGGGTCTATTTTTTTTTTTTTTAATTCATGGTGTTGCTATATGCCCTAATGGGAGACTACGCCTTTTATTTTTTAGAGCAACTCCCACTGGAGATGCTCTTAGTTGCTACTTTTAATATCGAAACGGCAACCATCATTCAATTGTATTGTATAGCAAAGAAGAAACAGATGCAGAAACCATCTTTCAAGGGACAAACTGCCCCCGTTTTATTTGACAATACTTCAACCACTTGAAATATAAATAAATCTCACCTCAATAAAATAAAAAAATAAATAATAATTTATTAAAAAAATATATTTTTTTAATAATTAAATTTTTTTAGATAATAATAAAAATAAAATTGTGAAGACTTAAATCCAAAAGCAACAATATCTCATCATATTTAAAATACATTGCAAGTTTTTTTATATGAATAATTGAATAATGCTTCACAATCCGCGTGCAAGTATAGCAACTTTCTTACAAAAACATCGGTAACAAATTGGAGAGAAAAAAAGTGACAATTGTTAATTTAATTAATAACTTAAACGCGTTTGTGACAAGTGTGAGTGCTGCTTCGCACCTAAAATATGCTATGTAATCCACTTTTTTAATTTTCTTTCTAGAACTATATACACGACAACTTTTGCTTACACAAGTCAGATGAAAAAAATATTAAAAGTAGAACTATTGAAAATGGAAAGGAACAAAAAGAAGCCAACACTGGTGTTCCAGGAAGCATGTAAAGCGATTTGAATTCTGCGAGCTTGAATAGAATCTAGCTCCCAACAAACAATGTATGTCCAGTTACCAATCTGAAGTTCCCCTATCACTTCTTAGTGATGTTGTTATCTATTTTGTTCCTCTTGATTATCCCATATGCTTCCTCTCTATCCTTTAACTACTCTAGTTTCGATCCTAATGATAAGAGCATAATATATGGGGGATCAGCAAACCCTGTTGCACCAACTATCCAACTCACAAGAAACCAAGTGGACAAGAGCATGATTGGAAGCATTGGTCGTGCCACATATTACCAACCCATGCACCTATGGGACAAAGCCACAGGGAATCTCACAGATTTCACCACCCGTTTCTCTTTTGTCATAGATTCTCAGAACCGAAGTAAATATGGAGATGGGATTGCATTCTTCCTTGCCCCTGCTGGTGCAAAGATTCCTAATGCCAGAAAAGGAGGTTCTATGGGTCTCACACTTGATAACCAACCACTGAATTCCACTCAGAATCCATTTGTTGCTGTGGAGTTTGATATCTATCAGAATGGATGGGATCCACCCCGTGAACATGTTGGAATCGACATCAACTCTATGAGATCTGTTGCTAATGTGACGTGGTTGGCCGATATCAAGGAAGGGAAACTCAATGAGGCTTGGATCAGTTACAATTCTAGTTCACTAAACTTGAGTGTTGTGTTCACTGGTTTTATCAATGATACCATTCAGCAGCAACATCTATCTGTCATACTTGATCTGAGGCTTCATTTACCAGAGTTGGTTACGTTTGGCTTCTCAGCTGCCACGGGAAATGCAACTGCTATACATAGTCTTAATTCATGGGATTTTAGCTCAACTTTGGCAGCAGAAGAAAACATAACAAAAGGAGGAGGAGACCCAGTTGCAAGGTCTCCAATTTCCAATATATATCCCAATAAGAAGAAAAAGGACAAGACAGGTTTAGCAGTGGGGTTAGGTGTTGGTGGTTTTGTTTTGATTGGTGGGTTGTGTTTGATTTCAATTGGCTTGTGGAAGAAAGGAACCAATGAAGAGGGAGATCATGATATTGAAGAGTATATGGGTGAGGATTTTGGAAGGGGGGCAGGACCCCGGAAGTATTCATATGCTGAACTAGCACAAGCAGCTAATAGTTTCAAAGATGAGCACAAGCTAGGACAGGGAGGATTTGGAGGAGTTTATAGGGGTTATCTTAAAGACATAAAGTCTCATGTTGCAATTAAGAGGGTGTCCGAAGATTCTGATCAAGGGATAAAGGAGTTTGCATCAGAAGTAAGGACTATTAGCCGGTTAAGGCATCGAAATCTAGTGAACTTGATTGGTTGGTGTCATGAAAGGAAAAAGCTCTTGCTTGTGTATGAGTATATGCCAAATGGAAGCTTAGATGTTCATCTTTTCAAGAAGCAAAGCTTGTTGAAATGGGCAGTGAGATATAACATAGCCAGGGGCTTGGCCTCTGCATTGATATACTTGCACGAAGAATGGGAGCAATGTGTGGTGCATAGAGACATAAAGTCAAGCAACATTATGCTGGATTCAGAGTTTAATGCCAAACTTGGGGATTTTGGCTTAGCAAGGTTTGTGGACCATGCAAAAGGTGCACAAACTACAGCTTTGGCTGGGACTATGGGCTACATGGCTCCTGAATGTGCTACCTCAGGAAGGGCTAGTAAGGAATCAGATATCTACAGTTTTGGAGTTGTGGCTTTAGAAATAGCTAGTGGAAGAAAACCCATTAACTTCAAGGCTCAAGAAAATGAAATAAACATTGTGGAGTGGGTGTGGGGACTCTATGGAAGAGGGAGAATTCTTGAAGCAGCAGATCCAAGACTAGATGGGGATTTTGAAGAGGAGCAAATCAAATGCTTGATGATTGTTGGCCTTTGGTGTGCTCACCCTGACCATAATAATAGGCCTTCTATAAGACAAGCAATTCAAGTGCTTAACTTTGAAGCTCCCTTGCCTAATCTTCCATCATCTTTGCCTGTTCCAACATATCTTGAGCACCCACTGCACCTATCTATAGCCCCATTCACCATAAATGCTTCAGAGGAGGCTCAAAACCAGATCACAAGCTTCAGTTCAAACACAAACTCCTCTGGCTTCACTACAACTTCTGATGATGCTTCTCCCTCTGTGTCGCTTCTGTACTCGCGGTGAATATTTTATCTGAATGCTTTTTCCCTCTTTCCTATGAATATTTTACTTCTCTTTCTGTACACGGTACTAATCACGTTTCTGTAAAGACAGATTTTCTCATCTGCAAATTTAGATATGAAAAAGGTAGTTCAATTTTCTGCCTAGTTGTTCACCTAAGATCCTATCAACAATTGCTTGAAACTGTTACCAATTACCATATTTTGAAACCCTTAATAACGGAACATTCTATGTCTGGAAATTGCTGTTAGCTTTCTTTTAAGATTCGATTTCTAGGATAACTTGTATTTATTTGAATGATTTCGTCAAATCTTGAAGATGAAGAAAAAATCAATCTCATAAACACATTAGAACCTCCATGCACTATGTTAAATTGTTAACCTCAACCACTAGGTCACTCACAACTTCAATATTCTTATTCCTGTTATGCTTGTGAATTAACTACTGCTATATAAAAATAGGATTTGCCTCCTCCTCCTCTAATGCGAGGATTAAATTTAACGGTAAATATTATAATTAATTTTAAATTTTATAATATATATATATATATATATATATTATTTTATCATTATTCTTAATTTAACTTTTATTTTTGTTTGATAATTTCTGATTTTATTTACTTTTGTCTTTGAGGAAGATAGATATCTTCGACTAATCCAACGATTTTCAACAAGTTCTATAAACTTCTGAATGTAATTTAATAGGGAATTAGTTTTTTTTTTTAATAAATTGGACTAAAAGCACAAACTAGAAACCGTAAAACATTATAATAGTTGAGGAATCAGCAAGTAAAAGAAAAATAATTCTAGATGGAGAATGATACAAATATGCAATCCTATCCCTAAAGATAATCCTAGATTGGTCATGGCATCTACAACTTGATTTGTTTTTCTGAAAACATGGTTGCACACCAATTCTTGACTCATGTTAGCTAACTCAACAATTGTGCTAACCAATATTACCCAACTATGGGAAATACTGTACCCTTCATTTAGAAACTTCATTGGTAAAGCTGAATCAGATTCAATTATAATATTTCTTGAAAAGTCTCACTCTTTGATGATTTGAATACCGTAGTAAATTGCCCAAAGTTCTACTTGAAGATCAGACCAATGGCCAATATTGCAAGCAAAGCTTAAAATATTTTCACCCTGTCATTTCTTATGATAACATCACAAGTGACTTTATGACATGATTTAGGGCTGTGCCATCATATTTAATGGCCCGATCTTGACAAAATATTTTGAAGGGGTCAAAATATTTAAATACATATAATTTAAATTATTTATAATATAATATATAAAAATATATATTGTTTAAAAGGAAAAGGAAAAGCTTTGGGGGGCCATGAATGCCTCCCTCTCTAAAGAAGTTCTGTCATATATATTTATATCCTTTAAAGAGTTCTGTCATATATATTTATATACTTAGGATAAAGGGAATATGTATGTAACTATTTTTTGTTTTTATTTTTTAGTAGATCATTATATCTTTCAAATGTAGAAAAAAAATCTTATATCTTTTTAGATAATTACACATAATTTTTTAATATTTTTTTTGTATATAATTATTAGAGACATAAAGTATCTCGGCCACTTTAATATTTATCTATAAAAGGAATAAGTTTTGATAACTACTATTTTGATTTTTATTTTTGTATTTGACACTATTATTTTTAGATTTAGTAAAGTTTAATTTTTATAAATATTTTAAAAAATAAAT